TTCAATGCAGATTACATATATCGAAATAAAAACTTTATTTGGTTGGTTCTAACATTAGCCGACCGTTTGCTTTATCTAACACAAGTTTGGAATTTGTTTCTCATCGTTTTTTTCCTTTATTTTCTTTCGCAAAACTAGCTCATTCCTTCTGGTAAGTTTGTATAAATAATTTTGATGGGAAAACTTGAAATCTTATTAATATTTATCTTTTTACATTAATGTACAGCTTTAACCAAGGGTTTTTAATATTAAGGTATGATACAAATTTTTATAAATAATACGAAAATTACATATCGATGAAAATGCTTGGATTACACTAAATTGGGATTTGCCGAATTTCGGATTAAATAAATTATTCAGTTTATACGTATACATGATACTTTAACATCATTTCATTACTTATAGGCAAAGGCCCTGCACTATTTTCTTTCAACATTAAATTCCTCATCATCAATTTGTAATTATAAAACACATACATAATACACGATGCACAGACAAAAGCAACAATCATTGGCAGACGTTAAGCTTCGGCGGTTAGTCGACTTTAACCAAAGACTTCGAGAAGATTTAGATCGTCCTCGGGTACGTGTCAGCGAAGCAAGTAATAGGTGTGTATTGTATTTAGATATATTTAAGGTACACTTTCGGACATAGATGCTAGCAACTAATATTAACTGATGTCTATTCAAGTTTAATCCTATATTGTAGAAACACTAGAGATTTCTTAGTACCATCCGTCTGGGGGCCTGTTGATAGACGCGACGATCCCTATGCGCCATCTGGTGGTGGTTGCATTTGTATCGTTATGTAAAAAGTGCTTATTTTTTAGTATATTACATATAAAGATAGTCATGCTTCATTTCATCATTACCTCTCCTTCCACAAAGTATCATTTTGTATCTTTGTTAATAATGTTAATTCAAGGAGTGTGGCTCTTATCAAAGGATCGTATCTCCTATTAAAAATTCTTGACAATTTGGAGTCGCATCCTTCTGGAAAGGTGTTGCTCCTTCCTTTGTACAAACTTTAAAGAAAATGGTGAGCCGTTGAGTTATATACATATTTGCAAGGGTTAAGTTTTGTGTAATTTTTTTTGGTCATATTTTTCCACTTCAATAGAATTTAAAGTTAAAAAAAAAAAATGAACTATTACTTTTCGGTAACATATTTCTTAATGTATCTTTCCCATCCAATTGACTACCACTCAATCAAGGTGTCGTATAACTTTACACCTCCTTGTGGTTAGATCGAAACATGTCACTCTTTTTATAATTCTTTTTAATATAATCCTTTTTCTCTAGAACACATTGCAATTTATTGTAAATTGTCAATTTGTATTGAGGTATTATGTGTTAATTTTAATATAAATAAATTTATTATACAGTACTATTATAAATATTCAGGATGTCAATTAACAATATGCTGGGATAAAAATAAAAACAACCCATTTAAAAATCACATTAAGATAATCGATCTTCTGTTTTTTATTAAGAGGTAAATTGCGGTTAAAGAATAGCAAATTTAATAGTAGAAATTGTCTGAAGTTAATTTACAATGAAAAGTTTTTTTATGTTAAGTAAACCTTTCTTGAGTTTCTAACAAATATTATAGAGCAAGCTATTCTGGTTCTAATAGTGATAGAATTATTAAACTTTGGTTTAGTAGATCGCGAGTTATTGGCATTTTCACCTTCATGACAAAATGATTAGGGATGGAGAAGTTCGTACGTATTGGTTTGGATTGGTTTATAATATATGCAGTAGGCGCATATATTAAACCAATCCAACCGATCCGAACTTACGCATCCCTAAAAATGATTTTTATATATCGCCAGAAACTTTCGGCATTCCAACATTATATGAAAGTAATAGTGATTCTCCGCCGACTTTTACTATGTAATTTATGTCCTTTCAACTGCGATCTATCACTTAAACACTGATGTAGACATTAATTACATTTTAATGGAAATTTTTCTTAATTTTAGCATTTCCGTTTTCGGTTGGTTTAGTATTAACAATTTTCGTTTATATTGCTTCTAGTAACTGCGTTTAGTATTATGTTAAAGGCTATATTTGTTTTAGGTTATATGTTATTTGCTTAGTAGGTGAGTATCTGGATTATAAAGAGCACTATAATCAGAAATTCTTTTAATTGGTTTAATAATTTTTTCATGTAATATTTTTTAAAATAAAAAACATAGTTCAGTATTCGTCTGGCCAAGTTCAAAGTTGTTTGATCCGACCACCCTTAATTATTTTTATAATTCAATTCTCTATATACCGTTCTTATATGTAAAATATCAAAAAGTTTAATTCTCAAAAGAGTTACTATATCGCTAATCCGAACTTTATAATAAAAATTACAAATGTTCTGAAGCTTCGTTTGGTTTTTACGGTACAGAGTTTATTAGGGGTTCGGATGGAACCACTCAGCTGCCATTCGGTATGTCTAATTTTTTGACTTTGACTAGTGTAGATGGTATTATTTCTAATCATCAAATCAATAAAATTTATATAACAGCATTTTACAAAATTACAGGCCTTGAACTTTCAAATATACAAAAAGAAGTCACACTTTGCCAATAGGCAAATTATGCATTTAAAAATACAATAATTGGATCAAATATTATATATAGATGATCTTATTAAGAAAAATCGATTAACCAAATTGATTTATAGTAGAGATCATCTATCTTGATCCCAACAATTTAGTGTTGATAAAAAAAAAAAAAAAATTTTTAAATTATAAAGTACATTTCTTTATAATCTTTTTACATGTAAATATTGTAATAAATTTGAGAAATATACAATTTTTTTTCTTGAGTAATAATCAAATTGGCTTAAACTAAAATTAATCAATCAGAAGCGGCATTTTCAGTTTCAGCCAAATTTGAGCGCCAGACGTCGATGTTTAAAAAATTTTTAAAATAAACAGCTTAACCTATAGGAAGACTTTCGTATGATTGGCTGTTTAAGTCTACTTTTTAAAAAAAAATCAAACTACGAAGAATAAACAAAAAAGAAGTATATAGAAAGTTTTAATAGGGTTGTAGGACTCCACTATTAAAAATAATCAAAATCCCTTTTTGTTTTAGAAAAGTTAGCATGGTAATAACCTAATTTTATCTATCGTTAAGAAGTCGCTATTATGTTAACTCTAAAACCAAAAATGATTTTGATTATTTTTAATGATGGAGTCCTACAACCCTAATAAAACTTTTTTTATACTTCTTTTTTGTTTATTCTTCGTAGTTTGATTTTTTTTAAAAAGTATTTTAAACTGTATAAATAATGTAAAATTAAATATATAGACTTAAACAGCCAATCATACGAAAGTCCTCCTATGAGGTATCGTATACAACCTTGATCTAATCTCTAGTTTTGGTGCATATTAGGCAAACAACTCCTTTAGTATCCAGGGCATATATTTTAAATAAATATCCCTAAACTGTCAACTTGACTTCAAATCTACTACGATTATAGACTACAATCCAATCATGAAATCCCGATACTGACAACCTATTTCATCGACAGCCTATGTCACTGATTCTCCAACAACTATTTTCGGGCAAGTTTGCCTGGAAAACAGTTTAAGGGATAATACTTTAAGAACCCTTAAGCATATGGGTAATTATTTTTGAATCCAGATCAAAATGTTATTGCGTCATGTATAGAATTGGCCCGGGTTCAAAAATAACTACCCATATTGCTATAGCCACGTGAATGTAACCGCGTTAACCTCACTAAAAATATGATTAATTTTTAATGCGATGATTTTTGCTTGTGTAACGTTATTTAAAGTACATAAAATTAGTTTCGATTTTCTTTACTCAGGGTTGACAATGAAGTCAATAAAGCTCGAATAGTAGTTTATTGAGTTCCACAGAGAGATTCTTTAGTGTATCATGAAATTTTTTAAACCAGATTTGCATTGATAAAAGAATCGGGACCGGTTTTTACTGTACCACCTGAAATATTGTTTTTGATTACATTGGTTCAAAACTAATTTATTTATTTTTTTATTTTATTTATTTATTTATTTTATTTTACTTTTTTTAAAAACCAGTTATGGTTGATAAATTCAAACTTTGTAGTAAATGTGATACTTTGGTCACGTTGATTGGTGAAGAAAAAGGTTACCAAAAAAAGTTAGGGAACCATTTCTTTTAAGTGCAATGTAGTTCAATAAGTTAAAATATAGGTTATCTAGGTTACGCTTCTTTTTGATCCAATATTATTGATTTTTTTTTAATGGCTGAAATTTTGTCAAAATACTTAAAGTTTAACACTAAAATCGTATCACAAAATATTGAAGTTATTGTTATAGAAATAGATTAGACATTGAAAAAGATCAAGTATAATTTATCAAAAATGAAATCTTTTTCTCATAAGGAATCATCCTTTATACTCTTGTAAAAAATATTTCTATACTCTTCTACTAAACCTATACTTGAAGGTAAAAATAAAATGCACAAAATATAACCATTAAGAAGTATTGTAAAAAAAAAAGTTTGGTTATTACCGTTGGCCACTGCTTACAGTACCCGGGGTCTTATTCAAGAACATCATTTTTAAAATTGAATAGTACCGGGTACTATTCACAAATCCAGTGATCTCATTGGTGGAGGAGGGGTACTTTATGTGGTAGGATAATATTTTTGGGGGATACTGTAAGCAGTGGCAAACGGTAATCACATAACAATTTTCCAAATGGTAGGATATTTTCTTTTAAAGGTTGTAATATAATACCTAAGAAAATGAAGACCGATACTTTTTTTTTTTGAAGGGTATATACTAAAAAATCTTTATTTGGAAGATCAAGAGATAAAATAGTGGTAGGTAGCTAATATATTAACATTAATATTATATTTGTCATTAATACAAATCTTTACATAATAGTAGAAGATATCAAATCATTAAACATTGAAACAAGTTCAGAATTTGAATAACTTTACAAATTTAAAATTTAAAAGAAAAGTTACTCAATGAATTTAATCTTTATCATGACTTTTTTTCAAAACCACTAATAGTTGGAGTTTTGTTTAACCAAAGACTAGTACGTAATTCTCTTAAAATAAAATGAGCGACGCTAGCCCTTGAAATTTTCATCATAGTTAAAGGCTCATTTATTCTGTAGTTTGTCAACTCACCATCATACAATTTTGCAGGCCTAACTATTGTCCAATCAATAAACTCTGTATCCTGTTTAACAATTGACTCTTGTGTTTCTTTGTCTGCCAACGCTTTTCCCTTAGTAGTAAACCAGCTGAAAAACTTTTGAAATCCAGAAACATTTTGATTTTTACCACAACCGACGACAATCAATCTACGAACTTTATTCTTCATCATGCTTTGATTGATGATTCTTTGAGATTTAGAACATATATTAATATCACTTGCCATTATTCGAGATCCAAGACAATTTATTACAGCATCTTGATCCCTAATCGCTCGATCTAAATCGTCACGAGAGAGCACAGAACCAACCAGGATTACGAGGTTTGGATTCCTTAAATGATGTCGTTTAAACTGGAGATTTTTTTCATTTCGTACTAGGATTGTAACATAATATGATGCTTCTAACGCCTGGCATACAACTTGAGTTCCTAAATTTCCCGTTGCACCTAAAACTAATATTAAATTACGAAATCAATGGAGTTTTTAAATATATAATTACGTTAAATGTAATAATTTTAGTTTTAAATTCTTACCTAAAATATGATTAGGTAATGTGTTGTTTGTGATTGCGGGTAGGGAAGGTCGAACAACGTCGATAATCGTCGTAACTGATTTTTTTCGAGATTTGTATCTAGCTAGTGGCATTATAACTAAAATGGTTATTTCTTTGTCCCTGTCTATATAGGCCAAGCTGAGGATATGATGACTGAAATATTTAGTATGAGATTAGTGATAGTTTTTTCTGAGAAAATCAAAAACATCTACATATTACAGGTCAAGTCAACACTTTTTTAACTAAACAAATGTACATTCGTTTATATATATAAATATACATATATATATATATGAAGTTTTTTTTTTAATTTTTTTAAT